TCTCATGTAGAGGAAGAGAGGAATAGGGCAGTTAGTGAAAGGGTGTCACTGGGGATGAGAAGGAAAAAGCTGGAATCATCAGCAATTTTGCAATGCAATTCAGTATTCGGGGGAAGGCTAATGTGTTGACTTCAAGAATAAGGAGGTGGTGTGGATGAGCCCAAGTCATTTTCAACCCCAAGCACTATGAAAGAAAGAGTCAAACTTTCTCCTTAAAGCAGAGCAGGGAACAAACAGCAAGGTTGACGTCACTGGTGATGACCGAAGATGTCTGAGGAGATGCATACATTTCTACCTAGATCTTTGTCGTGCTCTGCCTTGGCTTAGCTACACCTGTACTTAGCTGGGGCAGCTAGCTAGCAATCTGAAAAAATGGGAAAGGTTTTCATGGGGAGAGGGATTCCTCAGTATGCAGAAGGACCATTTAGGTCACTGTCTTTTCAAAATAATCCTTCCAGCTCTCATCAATATATCTCTATGTCAAGCCATACTAAGCAACACATAAAATAAAAAGCATAGGACATTTAATGAAAATAGAACAGTAAGATAAATAAGAATGAATTAAATCAGGTAGTAAATATTACCTGTGTCCACACACAAATTTGTCCAACACACACAAACAGCACAGTGGAAGAGGGATACAGTCAGTAGTATCATGGTTGAGACTTAGAATTTGAAACCTGTTGGCTTAATTAGCTCCTCTTTTAATCTCATTTTGGTAGGTGCAAAGAGCACTGACTCCTTGAGCCTAGGCAAATACTGAAGCTTCTTGCTGTAGCCCTTTTAGTTATCATGCTCCGGATGGGATGTCAGAATTCACAATGCTATGGCCAGGTGTATGCTGGATAATGTCACCATACTGTGGGCTGACACATAGCCTTCTGGGAAATGTAGCCCAGAGAATTTTTCCCAACAAATTTTTCCCAATCTCACCTCCTAAGTATTGTAGGAAGTGAGGTCCATAGACATGTCCTCTACACTTATTATTTCAAAGGCTATTCTCAATTGTGTACAACTTTGTTCATAATTACTGACTAGAGATTAACTGATTGTTGTGTCTCATTTTAACAATTAATTTATTTTTATTTTTTTAAATAGAAAATCCTACTTTATTATTAAGATAATAACGTACTAATCTTTGTTCTAAGACATTCCCAGTTTTGGAAAGCCTAGCTTCCCCATCTGGATCTTCTCCAACTTACTTGACTTGCAAACACAAACAGGTAAGGTGATGGTTAATGCTGACCCAGGATGAAGGGTCGCAAGATTAAAATGGAGACAGGATGCCTAGATCAGGCCATTCCGTTCCTCCTAGTTTTGTCTCTGGTATTTACCCAGAACAAATATAATCCATCTCACATGCCCAATCACCAAATATTTGAAGAAAACTATCATAACCCTCCTGAAGTTTTCTGAATTGTTTTAATCATTCTTCATATAACCTGGTTTCAAATCCCCTCGTGATCCTAATTGCCTTCCCCTGAAAATATGCATTTGTTAATGCTCTTCCTAAAACCTGTTCTCAGAACTGGAATCAATGTTTCAGATGCTATTTGACCACAGCAGAGCACAGCTATTGAGATGAGTAGGTGGAACATGTAAGAAAAACTTACTGGAAAGCACATTTCATCTCAATATAAAAGGCACCCAAACATCAAAGTCATTCAAAAGAAGAAGGCTGACTGGAGAATATCCCATCTTAAGAGGTTTTTAGAGGGAGGCCCGATTATCACTTGTGATCAGTCAACTATACTTAGTGAGATCACAATAACAGTAGATAAGTATGGTGCCCTATGCTATGGCTACAGCTTTCATTCTTATACTTGACCTACTGTACAACTGTGTGCTGTTGGTAGGAAGGGAAAGAGAGAGAGCAGGGATGGACAGTCTCCTCCCTTTTTTATAGATGAGAACCAAGCTCTCTACTCATATTAATTGTGAATGAAGTGATGAACAATTTAGAATTACCTTTAAGTTGATACAAGATAAAGGATATGTTAGTGAATTCCTTGTTTAGGGTCTTGTCTAAAATAAAAAGGGCAGAAGGAAGGAGTTATTCCTGTTCTCTCATAAGAGCCCCTTTCTAACCAACAATATGAGTTGGCACAACACCTCAAGGTAAAGAATTAATCTACAGATTGTGGCCATGGTGCAATCATTATCCATCATTACCATGATCTAGTCAAGCATTGATTAAATTGGTGTCTGGCCAGTTTTCCTCAGTGATTAGCTAGGTAGCTCTGGGCTATAGAACACTGGGTTTGGAGTCTTCTAGAGGACTTGAGTTCAAATTCAGTCTCAGATACTTACCAGCAGTGTTAACCTGGACAAGCCACTTAACCTCTCACTGCCTCAGTTTACTCACCTGTAAATTTGGGATAATAGTAGCAGGTACCTCCTAGGATTGTTTATTTGTAAAGTGCTTTGTAAACCTTCAAGCTCTATATTGTTGTTGTTATTGGTTAGAGTGGGTTGGTAATGTGGCTAGGAGTTGCTCCTAATGAGAATAGTGGGCTTGGGAGGATAGAAGAAAGAGAATGGACATCTACTCTGGTAAAGAAATAGAAGACTTTGAGCATTCTTATCATGGGGAGAAATCTTTTTGGATAGGGGACCCACTTTCCTGGTCACCACCAGAAATAACTGCTGATCACCAACAGACAGATAAGCAGAAGAGTTTTGGGAATGGCAACACTGCCCCCTCCACCTCTGGCTCTGCTTCTAGACCAGCCCTCATTGTCATTATCTGTGGAAACAACGCCTTTGAAGAAGAGGGTGGCCTTTTGCCAGCCAACTGCCCTTCACAGGGCAACCTAGACGCCAGCCTACCTGAGGCGGCAAGGGAACCTGAGGGAGAGACAGGAGGTAGCATATGTGCCAGGCAAGTCAAATCACCATCACCACCATCTTGGCTACTGTTTCCCCTCAGACCTTGATTGAGACAGTCTTGGACATTATTCCAAGAGCCTTGGGAATACCAAATGTTCAAAGTGCTGCACAAATGTACACTATCACCACCACCACCATGATTTCCATCCTTCTCCTCCTCCTCCTCTTTATCATTGATTAAGAAGAATTTGGTAATATGAGTAGAAGGGTAATTCCAGAAAAAGGATGTAAATAGACCCATTATTGTCTTTTCTGGTTCTACTACTTCTGTATTATTGTGTTCAGTTTTGAGCAGCCTATTTTAGGAGGTACATAAACAAATTGGAGCACATCCAAAGGTGGTGAGTAAATTTGAAACTATGTCATATGAGGATTGGTTGGGGAAAAATTTAACTTGGAGAAGAGAAGACTTAGGTGAGACATAAAAGAAGAAGAAAAGAAAAGAAGTTTGAGTCAAAGAGAATAATTAACTTTTTTTTTTTAAAGGTGAGGTCTTGCTGTCTTGGTCAGGCTGAAAGAATAGAGGCTACTCCCAGAACTAATCCTGCTACTGATCAGTATGGGAGATTTGACCCATTTATTTATGACCTGGCTCACTTCTTTTGAGCTATAGTTTCCCTATTCTCTCTGTCTCTCTGTCTCTCTGTCTCTCTCTCTCTCTCTCTCTGTCTCTCTCTCTGTCTCTCTCTCTCTCTCTCTCTCTCTCTCTCTCTCTCTCTCTCTCTCTCTCTCTCTCTCTCTCTCTCTCTCTCTCTCTCTCTCTCTCTCTCTCTCTCTCTGGTTAGGCAATGGGGTTAAGTGACTTGCCCAGCATCACACAGCTAGTTAAGTGTTATGTGTCTGAGGCCTAATTTGAACTCAGGTCCTCCTGACTCCAGGGCCGTGCTCTATCCACTGTGCCACCTAGCTATCCCCTATTCTCAAAACAAGAATAAAATACATTCTCATTACCAACTCTACAGGACTGTTGCAAGGCTCCAATAAGATAATGTATGTAAAACACTTTATAAAGTCCTATGTAAATATGAGTTATTATTATTATTATGTCATCATTTTGGCTTTTCAGGTTCTTATGGAATCTGTGTCCTCTTCTGAACTTATACCTAGGGCAAATTGTTTTTTCCAATTGTTCAGTAATTCATTCAGGGCCTATTATTATGTTATCTGTTGAAGTGAAGTAGATAAGCACTGTGCATGGAGTCAAGGGACCTTAGTTCAAATCCTGTCTTTGATACCCTGTCGATGTGATCCGGGACAAGACATCTTTCTATGCCATATTGGGGAAAAGCATGGAAATGGTCCCATAATACTCTTTGCTAATCATTTCACCCAGGAGTCATGGTGTTCAGTTCTGAGTACCATTTGCAAAATGGGGATAACAATATCATACTGCTAATCTTCCAGGATTGTCGTGATGGAAATGCTTTGCAAACTTTAAAATGCTATAGAAATGTGAGCTATTCTTGTTAACTTTTTTTCATGTGTTTTTCTTTTCCATCTATGCTTCTTGTGGTCCCCCAACAGAGTCCAGAACAAAGTTAGGCAAACAATCTGTTCTCAAAAAATGGTTTTTGAAATTTGGGTACTTATTTGAATTTGGATGGTGTAAATCAGTATTTTCAAGATCTGGACACTCTTAAGTAAAGCTGATTATAGACTTTCTAAGTCTGGAGGGCAGAGAGAGCAGGCCCTAAGATGTGGTAGCCTCTTTCATCCCTTACAGTGTTTAGCAGCCCCGGAGTTCCAGGGAACCAGGAGACTTGGAGTCTTTTCCTCTTCAATTCTTACAGGACTCCCCCAATCCTTATCTCTCAGTCTGATTTTTTCCCTTTACATAAGGACATCAAGAGTGAGCTTAGTGAATTAAACTTGGATGACTTTGAGCGTTTCGGCTGGAGTTGCTTCTCCTGGTTTGGCCAGACCACTTACCCTCCCTCCTTTCCTGACTTAACCAGGACATTGTCTTTGAGCATTAGCCTGGGAATATCTGACTTTTTTCCCCTTCTTTCTCAAGGCTGGAACTTCTTCCACCGGAAGATTTATTCTTTTCCAGGAAAAGATGTGATCATAAGCAACTTTCTCACCCATTTTTTATTGTAAGTGGATCTCTAACAAGTGAATTGGAAGATTTAGAATAACCTCACTTCCATTTCCATTCTCATGTCCATTTCTGCTTGCACCCCCCCAACCCGAAAAACAAAAACAGAAGAACAATATAGAAAGATTGCTTTAGACACAGAAATGCTCATGAATTGCAAGTTTATTAGCTTAGGGCAAAATAGGAAGATGGTGGTACCGAACTAGGGTGAAGAGGGGATCTGTAGAAGGGATGATGACATTTCCCAGTCACGTGAAATATTCCGGAGAACAAAACACAGGTGTTGGAACTGCCATTGAGGTTAAGCGGCAGCTGAAAGGAGACCCTTTCATTTTAGAGGCTGAGGAAGAATTGAAGGCATTTGGTGAAACTTAAGGCAATATCATGAGAATTGTAAACCTTTAGGCTACAGCAAGAACAAACTTTTTGCTCATTCCTCTGGGCGCTGGGCAGGATGGTTTACTTGGTCGGCCAGCAAGGTGCCTGCTTCTGCTGGGTCTGGTGGGCCACGGGCACTCCCTTGCCACCCCCGGAGGAGCCTCCGCCGCTCCCCCCGGAGCCACCCCCGCCGCCGCCGCTGGGGTAGCAGCCGCCACCGCTGGAGCCACCGCCGGAGCCGCCGCCGCAGCTGCAGCCCGCCGCCGCTGGGGTAGCAGCCGCCACCGCTGGAGCCACCGCCGGAGCCGCCGCCGCAGCTGGAGCCGCCGCCGCTGGGGTAGCAGCCGCCACCGCTGGAGCCACCGCCGGAGCCGCCGCCGCAGCTGCCGCCGCCGTAGCCGCCTCCGTATGATCCCCCTCCGCTGCTCTGCTGGGATGGAGCTTGGACGCACTGCTGAGAAGAGTAGCCGCCGCCGCTGGAGCCGCCGCCGCCGGAGTAGTAGCCGCCGCCGGAGCCGCCTCCGCAGCTGGAGCCGCCGCTAGAGCCGCCTCCAGAACTGCCTCCGCAGCTGTAGCCACCCCCGCTGCCCCCGGAGCCGCCGCCGCCGCCGCCGCAGCCGGAGCCGCCGCCGCCGCCGCTGCTGCCGGAATACTTCTGTTGGCTGGGATAGTAGGAGGAGCCACCGCCACCGCACCGCCGGAGCCGCCTCCGCAGCTGGAGCCACCTCCGCTGCCCCCGGAGTAGCCCCCGCCGCAGCCGGAGCCGCCGCCGCCGCCGGAGTAGTAGCCGCCACCAGAGCCGCCTCCGCAGCTGGAGCCGCCGCTAGAGCCGCCTCCAGAACTGCCTCCGCAGCTGTAGCCACCCCCGCTGCCCCCGGAGCCGCCGCCGCCGCAGCCGGAGCCGCCGCCGCCGCCGCTGCTGCCGGAATACTTCTGTTGGCTGGGATAGTAGGAGGAGCCACCGCCACCGCCGGAGCCGCCTCCGCAGCTGGAGCCACCCCCGCTGCCCCCGGAGCCGCCGCCGCCGCCGCAGCCGGAGCCGCCGCCGCCGCCGGAGTAGTAGCCGCCGCCGGAGCCGCCTCCGCAGCTGTAGCCACCCCCGCTGCCCCCGGAGCCGCCGCCGCCGCCGCAGCCGGAGCCGCCGCCGCCGCCGCCACCGCCGCCGCCAGAGTACTTCTGTTGGCTGGGATAGTAGGAGGAGCCACCGCCACCGCCGGAGCCGCCTCCGCAGCTGGAGGAGCCGCCGCCGCCGCTGGTGTGGCAGTAGCCGCCGCTGCCACCACCGCTGCTACCGCCACCGCAGCCGGATCCGCCGCCACCTGAGCCACCGCCACCGCCGCCGCCGCCGCCGGAGACCCTGACACAGCCTACTGGGGGCTGGGGTGTGGGCTGGGTCTTCTGGTAAGACATCTTTTCAGTAGCAGGGGGATGAAGAGCTTGGAAAGAAAGAGAAATGTAATTGGACCAGAGGCTTCAGGCTCAAGGGGGCTCCCGGTTTGAGAGCAACTAACTGGGGTCTCTCAGAAAACACACCGGGCTCTAAACGAGGGTGGTAAGAAGTTATCCCAAACCTTAGGGGGCAATACCACCCAGATTACCAAAGTGAGGTTTCCTGGAAGGTTCTGAGTTTTCCGGGAGGCAGTGTGGTCATTTCATAAGAGAATTATATCTGGAAGGGATTTAGTGCTCTAGTGCAACTTCCTAATTTTAAAAGGTGAGGAAATCAAAGCCTAGAGAGTGGTTTGTCCAGAACCATACAGGTCGTTGAGTTGGGAATTTATCTCAGTTTTTTTTTTAAACTCCAAATTCAGGACTCTTTCCACCACAGATAATAAAAATGGCCTACTATGAAAATAATATATGCAAAGCACTTGACTTGTATTCATCTCAAAGCAACCCTGTAAGAGTAGGCACTACAAGCATGATTATTTCTGTTTTACAGATGAGGAAACTGAGGCCCTGAGATTGTGACCTATTCATATCCACACACAAATTCTGTCAGAGGCAGAATTTGAATCCATCTTCCTGCCTCCAATTTCCATACTCTTTATAGGAGGCCATAGGAGCCTGGGATGCCATAGGTTTTTGGGCTTAGAACCTTGTTCTAGATGGTTTGGGGCTTAGAAAGTTAGGAAGCAGGTGTCAGAGGAAGTTGGTTTTGTTGTGGTCTCAGCTAGAAATAGGGAGATGACCTCAGTGACTTCTGCTCCTCCCACTTTCATTCAGCCTCACAATTTTTGGATCTCTGTCCATAAATTCAGTTTTCATCAATTCAGCAGGCATTTATGAAGTTGCTACCAAGTGCAAGGCACTATTCCAGGTGAGGAGGAGATAAAAGCTGAAACCCAAACAACCCTGCACTCAAAACCCTTACATTCTATTGCGTTGGGGGGAGAATACATGTTCATAATGAAGTCAATGTAAAGTATATATAAAATGATATAAAACAATTTTAAGAGACAGAGAGAGAAAAGCACTTAATTAAGAAGGAACATCAGGGAAGGCCTCCTGGAGGAGCTGCTTTAGAAGGACGCTTTAGAAGGAAGCTAGGGATTCTAACTCAAACGGGATTTGCTGAAATCCACACTTGTGCAGTAATCTATTTCCATAAACCTGAAATGGAAGAGAAGTCCTCTAGTCCGTTTCCGTCTAGGAGAATAGCCTCAGGGTAGCTCTCCTCATTGTAGATGTAGAAGACCTGATACACCCACACACAAACTTCTGCCTCAATCAACTGATTCGATTCCTAAGCAGCTGCTAAGCACCTCCTCCATGCTCAGCACTGTGACAGTACAAGACATCTATGGCTCTTGTCTTCAAGGAGACCATACTCTTTGAGATTTAAAAATGGTCAGGGAGGGCCATAACTGTAGCACCATATAGCTGGAAAGGACCTTAGCAATCCTCTAGCTCAAATGACCTCATTTTACAAGTAAAGAAACTGAGAAATAAAATTGTCCAAGGCCACAAAGCTCGTAAGTGTTCAAGCCAAGACAAGAGCTGGGATTCTGATAAAGCCTAGTGTCCTTTCCACTTAATGCCTTCTGGAGGCATTTGGGGCTGCTCGGATCCCAGCTCTACCTCAAGTACTGATGGATGCCTTTTTTGAGGACACATCAATGCCAAACCTTTCTCCCCTTCTCTCCTTCCCCTCCTGGGGGCAAGAGATGTCCTTAGATATCCCTTCTCCCCTTCAAAGAGCAAATCTACAGTTATGGATTTACAGGGTCTGGCAAAGACAGAGCAGGATCTGACTCTCCCTAGAAGGCCTGAAGAATCTCTGGCCCTGTCCAGCTACCCTAACGTGAGGCAGAAGCCAAAAGGCTGTAGCTGACCAAGCCCCATGGGAGGCAAATCGGCAAGCCCAAGGCTCTCACTTACCTGGATCACCAGGAGGGATAAGCAAGAAGAGAAGCTAGCTGAGCTGTGTGAGGAACACTGGGTGCCAGAGCCTTTTATACTCTGCCAGATTCCTCATTTGCATTTGTGAGCCACTCTCTACGTGACCTCTCCTGCTATGGGGCCCCACCTCCCCCTCAATGAAGGCACAGGGTGGACCACTTGAGATTCTTGAAATGTACAGTCTGGCAGGTGACTTGGCCCCATTCCTGATGCAATGATGCCAACAAGGGCCAACAAGGGTGGATGGCAGACATTGTTTCTGAAAGATCTGGCAAGGAACGAATGGCACGAGGAGCTTGCTAGGCTATTGACCCAAGGTTCTTAGTGTGTTTTTTGGGCTTTGACGCATCACAGAGGTCCAAGAGGTAGCCTGGCTTGGGAGGCAGGAAACCCAGGTACCAGTCCTAGCCCTGCCATTTACTTGCTGTGTGACACTGGGCAAATAGTTTATCTTAGATAGTCCTCATTTTGCTCATCTGTAAAGTGAAAAAGTTATGTAGAATCCCCAAGATTTCTTCTAGCTCTGAGATTCTACAAGTTCCTCCCTTCCCCTCACATCACACCAGGAGGATTTGAAGAAGACCCTTAATTTGTCAGGATTGGTCCAGTTGCTGCACTGCTCCACAGCAACCACTTTGGAAGAAAGACTGTTTTCTGTTTATTATAGATTATTATTATTATTATTATTTTACCAATGATTATTCCACATACACATTATCTTATCTTCCTTACTAGATTGGAAGCTCTCTGTTGTAATAAGAGGGATTGGGTCTCCTCTGGGTTTGTATTTCATTCCACAGTCAATATAGGGCTTCCCATGAAGTGTATACCCAGTCAATGGTGTTGGCTGGCTGAGGTTAGGAAGGGGCACCAGCCATAGCCTCGATTTATTTCTGGGGACAGTTTATCTCTTAGAAGGTAGATGGCTATATCTTTTCAATTACCCTGGCTGGTTCTTTCACTGCTAACTCTCATTTTTAGTAATAATAATGATGCCGATGATTGAGATGATTAGCACTAATTTCTAAATAGGGCTTTAAAGTTTGAAAAAACCCTTTCTATTGTCTTGTGTCTGACAACCCCCTTGTGAGGGAGGTACTATATATATATCATTTTCATTTTAAACATGAAGAAGAAATGCTTCAGTTTCCTTCACTGCAACCGAAAAGATCACTTAAGTGACTTGTCATGGATCACATAACCAGTGAGTTTCAGAGGCAGGATTTGAACTTAGGTAACACTATGAGGTAGAGTGCAAATGTTACCCCCCCATTTTACAGGTGAGGAAACTGAGGTTTGGAAAGTGAAATGGCTTGTCAGTCGGGCTGCTAATAAATATAAAGACCAGGACTTGAATATAAATCTCTTTGTTCCAAATCCAGGGCACCACATTGGCTCTTGAAGAAGCTCAGGATATGGGTTTCATTCCACTGTGGGCCAGTTAACTTTGCTTTCCCAAGCACATCTTTGTACTAAACCCCAGCTATTTAACTGATGTTATTGTTTCCTGGGACCACCAAATTCTTAGCTTTGGCCAGATGTTAGCAAATACTTGTCCTTGGTCTCAGGAAGACCAGGGATATTTGTGGGATGACTCAGAGGAAAGCAATCTACTCTACTAGAAAAAAACAATTAAAATCATCCATCAATTCATTTATGCTTCATTCAATAAACATTTAAATATATATGTAGAGCGCTGTGCAATGGGATGAGGGGAATAAAAATGTAGATAAAATATGGTTACTCTATTAAGGAGCTTCACAGTCTAGAAAGGGGATATAACACAAATGTAGACAACTCTGGTATATAATAATACATGAGAGTATTAGTGGATTGTAGAACAAATCCAATCATTCAGTCCAAGGGGGAAACCAGGAGGTTCAGGAAAAGGTTTCCGGGACAAGGTAGAATTTGAGCTGGCTGTGAAGAGTGGGTAGGAAATTAGCAGGTGAAGTCCATGTCCTTGATAGTAGGTCCATAGCTCGAATGAGGTATGTGAAAACAAGCCTATGTTGATGTTTTTTTTCTTTTTTTTTTTTGATTGACCACAGGAACTGGATTGTTATTGGTAACCTAGATATTTGAGACACCATGTTTTGACCCTGTTCCACCCACTAACATGTTGAAATGACAACTGTAATCCTCTACAGCATACATTGTCTCTTAATTAAGGTACAGTTTAGAATGACCCAAATCCTGATTAGTAGAGATTAGAAACTTGTGACACCCTGGTTTTGTAAAGGATATGGGACTGAAGAAACTCAGGAAATACATAAGAAGCAATATGCCAGAAATATGAGAGAAGCCTCCCTCAAAATTAGGAGGAAAAAATGGTTTGAGAGCTCTGGTCTATTCTGTAGCTGTGAGGAGAGATTTGGAAGAAAAATTCCTCCGTAGTTGAATGATTATGCCTAGAGCCAAGGTGTGGAATCATTTGGTGTGGAGGAGCCAGGCTTCTTGTCTTCCCAGAGGGAAGTGGTGGTATTGAACTGGGCTGATTAAGTGCTAAGAACCCTGGAATGGTCATCAGAGAACCTGGGTTTGAATCCTGGCTCTATCAATGTGTCATCTATGTGACCTTGAACAAATTGTTTTACCTTTTTTGCTATAAAAATATTTATTTTAATTTATGGAATAAATTTCCATTTCCATAGCATAATAGAAAGATGATTGCACATGAAACTGAAAATCGATTATATATAACTTACTATTCCTTTTAAATATACAATAAAGTTATCATATAAATTTCTTCTTTTTCTTTTCCTTTTTTCTTCCCCCCCCCATGGCTACCACTAGATACAAATAGGTATCTATATATACAATTATTCTATTACATATTCAAGTCTCAGTTTCCTCATTTCTAAAATGATGGGGTTGGGCTAGCCTGTCATGTGACAAACTCACAGTCAGCAAAACTCGTAGTTTTGCTCCCTAGTAATTGGGAAATGTTTAACAAAATAAATAAAAATAAATTAATAAATAAACACAAAAAATAAAAATACAAAAAAATTAAAAAAATTAAAAATTAAAAATCAAATGTAGGTAATGTTTAATTTGTGGTTTTCTAAGTCAATATATAGCCACAGGGATATTTCTCTATAAGTCTGACACTAATAGATTAGATGACCTCTAATCCCCTTATTGGGCTCAGAGATTTACCATGACTTTATTTTATTTTATTCTGTTTTCAATGCAACAATGAAATAAATGTTGACTGGGTTGATCCTTATGTGCCAGGAACTATGCCAAGTGCTAGAGATACCTATACAAAAATGCCGCAGTCCCTAACTTCATGGTATGTACATTCTACCTAGGGAAAATAATATATACGCAGATACCTATATGCAAAACACATGCAGAGTACACAGAAAATGATTTGAGGGGATAGGGGAAAGTACCAACACCTAGAATCATCAGGAAATGCCTCGTGGAGGAAGTAACATTTAAGCTGTGCTTTGAAAGAAGTTTGGGATTACATGTGGTGGAAGGATTTACTTTCCACTCTATGGCTCCCATTCATGTAGAAATTGTGTTTCCAGGCTATCCATGACATTTAATGTCCCTACCACATACTTGGATACTTTTATAATCTTCTCTCACTTATTGTCTTCTTATGACCAGTTAGATGGTAATAATAATAATAATAATAATAATAATAATAATAATAATAATAACAATAGCTTGAGAAGTACTTTACATACATTATCAAATTCTATCTTCATACAGCCTTGTGAAGTAGGTACTACTATTATAATACCCATTTGATTCTTTGAGAGGTTAAGGGATTTGCCTAGGGTCCCACAGCTAGTGAGTGTCTGAAAGCAGCTTTGAATCTGGTCTTCCTGAAGTCCAGGGACTTCTTAACTATGTCATTTTGCATCTATGAATATAAGATCCTTCAGGGCATGGACTATATCTGATACTTATTTTTATTACAGCAGTGTGGTATAGTGGAGAGAGTACTAGAATTGGACTTGGAAAGATCTAGTTTCAAATCTGTGTTTGACCACCTGTTAGTTGTGTGACCCTGGGCAAATTACTTAACTTCTCTGTGCTCCCATTTCTTCTTCTGTAGAAGGACAGAGTTGGAAGGTCCCTTCCAGATTTAAATCCATGATTATATATATGTCCTACTGCCATATATGACTATACTTTTCTTTAGGTATGGGCTATTATTAATGATTCTTTTTATAGCAGTTAGGGTGGTGTAGTGGTAAAAACGAGAGTTTGTGTTCAAATCTCATCTTGGACACAATATATTTAATTTTTTAAAAAATTATTTACTTTTAACATTCATTAAAAATTTTTTTGTGTTCCAAATTCTCCTCCCCTACCTCTCCCCTACCCATTTAAAAGACAAGCAATATGTCATCAATTATACGTGTGAAATCATGCAAAACATATTTCCATATTAACCATGTGGCCAAAAAGAAAAACAAAAAGCGAGAAACATAAAAGAAAGTGAAAAAAGAATGCTTCAACCTGCATTCAGTTCATCAGTTCTCTCTTTGGAGGTGAATAGTAGTTTTCATCATAACTCATTCAGAGTTGTCTTGGATTGTTGTTTTGACTAGAGTAGTTAAGTTTTTCGCAGTTGATCGTTGTTACAATACTGCTGTTACTGTGTAGTGTTCTACTGGTTCTGCTCACTTCACTTTGCATCATTTTTTATGTGTTTCCAAGTTTTTCAGGGACCATCCTGCTCATCATTTCTTATAGTATAGCAGTATTCCATCACAATCATGTACCACAACTTGTTCAGCCATTCCCTAGCTGATGGATATCCCCTTGGTTTCCAATTCTTTGCCATCAGAAAAAGAGCTGCTAGAAATATTTTTGTACCTATGGGTCCTTTTTCCTTTACTTTGACCTCTTTAGGATACAGATCTAGTAGCAATATTGCTGGGTCAAAGGATATGCACAGTTTTCTGGTTCTTTGGGCATAGTACCAAATTGTTCTCTGGAACAACTGGACCAGCTCACAGCTCCAATAACAGTGCATTAATGTCCCTATTTTTTCCACATTCCCTCCAGCATTTGTTATTTCTCTTCTTCTAAAAACTGCCTATTCAAGTGATTTGACCATTTATCAGTTGGGGAATGCCTCTTTTTTTTTCTTCAATAAATTTGCCTCAGTTCTCTCTAAATTTGGGAAATGAGGCCTTTATCAGAGAAACTTGCTATAATTTTTTCAAATGTCCTACTTTTCTTCTAATTTTGTCTGCACTGGTTTTGTTTGTGCAAAACCCTTTTAATGTAATCATAATAAAAAATTATCCATTTGACCTCCTGTGATCCTCTTAATCTCTTCTTTGATCAAAAACTCTTTCCTTACCATAGATCTGCCAGTTACAATTTTCCAGGCTCCCCTAATTTGCTTATGAAATCACACTGTATCTAGTTCATGTACCTCTTTTGAGTTTATCTCGGTACATGATGTGGGACGTTGGCCTATGAGCCTAGTTTCTGTCAGACTTCCAGCAGTT